AAACAAATAAGAGATTTGGCTTTTAACCCTGCAAAAAATGATTTGCTTTTGTCCGTAGCTATGGATAAACTTGTGAAAATAACCAATATCTGCAACAATACAACAGTGGGATCATATTCTGCCGATGCACCATTATGGAGTTGTTGTTGGAATGCAGATAATGTTAACCAGTTCTTTGTGGGCACTGCAACAGGGTCTTTGCTACAATACGACACATGCAACACAAATGGACCAAAGAGTGTCACCAAGATCTCTGGGTCAGGACCAGTGGTATCCATGTGTTACATACCATACAAAGCAAGTGCAAATTTCAACTCTGGAGGACTTCTAGTAGCACGTTTGCAGTCAGTGTCATTTGTAGAATTTAAGGATGACAGAGTTATAGACCATGTATTACCATTTGAGGGACCATTCACCTCTGTTTCCTTTGAAAATCAAAACCGGCACATACTGATTTCTTGTAGACCAAGTCAACGATATCCCCATGCCAGACATTTGGTGTGTGAGCTACAGTGTGTTAATATTAACAATGATGATCCAACAAGGACTAGAGTGGTCACAGGAAACATTATTCACACTTTTAAAGGAGGAACTACTCAGAGACTCTTGACTCGCTCAGTCATCTTGAGTAATCCACTTGAGCCCAGTAGTGTCCTTGTCTGTGCCAATGATGAGTCAACACAGAGTACGTGTATATGGGATCTTTCTTCTCTTTCCTGTGTACAACAGCTCAAGGGTTCAGAAAATGTGATTGATATTCAAGCAGTACACAGTAACCAACATTCATATTTGGCATTATTAACTGAAAAATCTGTCAGAATGTATAAGTGGGTGGATTTATTATAAAATATTGGTCTTCCAGTGTCCTTGCCTGTGCTACTTAGGGAGTAATTTAATCATTTAAAATGAAATATATTGATATTGTTTTCAACTTTTGTCTAATACAAAGATGATTTAGGGCTATGTGCTTGAAGGTTTCTTTGATGTATTTCATGAAAATGATAGTATGAGCTTTCCTACAAGGCTTGCTTCTAGACAGAAAGATAGTATGCACACAAATAGGCAGGATTAAGTTACTGAGAACAGCCTGAATAATGACACAAAATCCTTATAGTATTGGCATCCACTGTCTGTATTGTACATGTGTATTATATTTTTTTACACAGCATATTCCGGAAGTTTACGGTACCCAGCAAATCATACAGTGGAAAAAGCTGGATGTTGTGGGTAGCATCTCTTGCTAATGTGTCCTTTCTGCTCATATATATGTATGGTTATGTATTCTTAGAAAATACTGTACAGAATAAGTTCAAAATCCTTTAACTTTTGTATTGCATTTTTAAAATAATAAAAATTACTGTATTTAAGGTTTTTTAGGGTTAATATGGTGACTTTCCTTACACTTCCCACAATCATCCTTTGATGTTTGTTCTATAACATCTACATATTTGAAGGGGTGTAAAGCAATAATACTTTAGGTTTTATGTAAGGCTTGTGTAAAACCACAAAAGTTTTGTGAAGTGCTCACAACAAGAATTAGAACTTTCCATTACATTTTCATGGACGAGATTCATCAGCGCAACTGAATAATGATATTTAAAGTCGCTTTCAGTATTTTATTATATAATTATTCCATTTAGCATGCAAAGGTTCAAGTGCTAAAAGTAATGTATATTTATACATTTATATTAATTCGAGAAATTAACGTAAATGCCCATAATATTAAAAACAAAACATTGTAATAAATGGAAATCAGTAACATGATAATCTTCCTCAATTATTGGTTGGATAGGGCAGTAGTCGTACAGAACTAGCTCAGTTTTATACACATGAAACTGCATGATCTCACTGTTATATAAATATTATCATATTTCAGGTAAAGTCCTGTTCTGCAGGGCAGGAAGGCAAACTTCTTGTGAACACTATCAGCATCTTTTGTGCTGATCCTCCTACCACTAATATTCCCCCCACACCACTTTCTCCTACTCCCTCCCAACACAACCCACCCCCTTCAACTCCAACTATACGCACATTTTCCCTCCCTCCACCCCCTCTATCCTTTCCACTCCCTCCCAGATACACATGTGAATCACTCATGTCACAACAATGCCCTTCCCCAGATTCCCTACCTCCTGATATCCCTCCTTCACACCCCCTAGCTCCTTCCCCCCAGATTCCCCCTACATGTAGAGGCACTTTCACTCATAAAATAACTAAGATATAGCTCTCCTACTTTGGAATATTTGCAGTTTCCGTTCTCACTGACCAGACCTACGTCATATCCTTGCTTACAACCTGTTCTTCCCCAGACTCATAAATATCCTTCACTTGATCTAATCCCCTTACCTAAACCACCATAACCCATTCCCTCATCAACTCCCTTACCTATCTCCAACCTTTCAATATTACTCTAGATAATTGATACATAGCAACAATCACCCTTCACCCCTCCTTTAATATACTTTCCTATAGTGCTATATGACCTTAGATGTCTAGCACATTTATTTTTGCTTTTTAACCATTAACCATTAATGACCTGGGTGGGTGGTTTAGAATGGATAGAGTTGTCAGTAAACATTGTGGAAGTAGTAGTAGTATCAGTGGTTGGAGCCATGGCAATGGAGAAGTGGGGGTCAGGAAACTAATGGAATCATATTTAGATTAGATGATGGGGCAAGACTTAATGCCCCTAATAAGGTTAAAAAATCTTCATTATTGACCATGGTGGGTTTGAAATAAGTGGGGAAAAGAAATGGTCTACCCCCACAGGGTCCCATTAAGGGGTAAGGGCTTGGCAATTAACCACGGGAATACCAAGGGAATACTGTGGCCAAGGCTCCTGGAGGCCGTTCTTGACTGACAAAGTGCACAGAAGGGGATAAATATGAGAAAGGAAAGGAAAGGAGAAGAAAAGACCATGAAAAATTAGTTGAGGAAATAAGAAGAGAGAGAAAAAGAAAGGACAAAAAGAGAAGAAAGCATGACAATGAAAACAGGATTGGTGAGGTAGGTAAGGTTAATCCATTACATTTGGCTTCAGTCTCCATCTCCTAAGCCCCCCCAGTTGCCTGCCAATGTGTCTGCTAATCATGCCCACTTGTATGAGCAGGCATTATGATGTCAAAGATCATAGAGTGCTACAGGAGAGTCTAGTAGTGAAAAAGGGTAGAGTGGGGGAGCAAAAGGAGTAAGGCAGGGGTTAGTAAAAGGGGAAAGGGGGGATCAGATCAAATGGGAAGTATCTTTGTCTGCATAAAGCAAGAGGAATGTTGCATGAGGAACAGTGCAAAAATCATTATGAAGCAATCATCAGGAAACAAGGTTAAAAATGCATATCCCCCCCCCTCCCCATTCCTTTTCCATTAGTGCTTCACCCCTTCTGTCCACTTGGTGTGAGAGCTGTGCTGAAAGGATAAAAGACTGGCTTTGTGTCAATCCTGAATGTCCCTTGTACTCTGATTGCCCTTCTTTCTTTACCCTGTTCACTACTATACTAACCTAATGTTCTACAACCTTTAACACACATTTTGTCCGAACTATTAACTATTTTTTACAGCATTATGCTATATGACCTGTGATGTATTGCACATTATTTATTTTGACAACTATTCTGGGAATCCACAAACATCACCTTAGGCCACATCAATTATCCATCCCCCATAAAATGTGCCATGAAAAGCTGAGAACTTGAATAAGCCTGTTATTCTTTATGTTCTGTAAGCCTAGACTTTTTTAACCCTGTTGCTCCATTTTTTTCCTGAGAAAATCCGAAAAGCATCAAATGAAATTGGTGTGGCCTTTTGAACCAAAAAACTTCCTTGTCCGGGGGCTATGGCCCCAAGCTATATTTTGAATATGCCGCTAATGGCTAGCTGTTGACGTGGCAGAAATGTTTCAATAAATAAATAAATGGGTGTCAGAGAAGTAGAAGATCCTGGGGAATGAGAACAGAGAACAAGGGTAAGAGGTGAAGTATAAAAAAGAACAAGAGGGGAAGGATGCAGGGATGAACACTTGTGCCAAAAGGGCCCCGCTAATCCCATGCCTGTTGTTACCACGGAGGGCTTTGGAGACAGACTGGGGCCCACTGTGAGGGATCACCCCTACCTTGGACCTCAGCCTTTGCTTCAACTAATTTTGCAAAGACTTTTCTTCCTTACCTTTCTTTTTTCTTCTCTTCATCTCCTCCTTCTGCCCACATACTAAAGTGTGGGAGCCATACTGAAGGGATGAAAGGCTGGCTTTGTGTTAGGCCTGAATGGCCTTTGCACTCGGTTTCCTACTCCTACTTTATTATTTTCACTGCCATCCTAACCTACAACACTACAACCTTTGACATCCGGCATATTTTGTCATAATTGTTAACTATTACAAGCTGTGGACAATCTGAACAGCTGTAGAAGGAAACTGCCTAATTGCTTTTGGAGACATTGTTGGAAGTGAAGGGTATTGTCAGAGTAATGGGCTGTTGTTTGGAATCACAGGTCTCACATGGCTGGGCTAAAAAACATAATCAAAAGGTTTGTAGAGGACATAGTAGGATGCGGGCAAGAGTTAGTGGTGTGGTGTGAGGTAGTACTGCAGGGAGGACAATAAGGATGAATAATAATAATAAGGGAGGGGGGGGGGCAGAAAATGAAGAAGACTGTACAGAAAGATGGAAAAGAGGATGTTGGGGGGAGAGGAAGGGATGTATTCTGAAGATTGAGTAATGGCCTGGGTGGATGATTTAGAATGTATCAAGTTGACAGCAAGAATTGAGGAGGGTAGTAGTAGTAGGGGGGGGGAGGACAATAAGGATAATCAGTAAACATTGAGGTGGTGGTATTAGTATCAGTGGTCGGAAGAAGATATGTTAGAGGAAAGGAGAAGAAAAGACCAAGCAAGGTAAGGGCAATCCCTACACTGGGCCCTAGTCTCCATCTCCTAAGCCCCCCTATGACAGTGAGCTAGGTATTGGGGGACTGAACTAAAAACAATCAAGAAAGAACTGAGCAACATTCACTGTTCTATGATTTTCCTTGGCTTTCTCTTATGTTCCTTTAGCCTCTAAATTTTGAGAACGATCACTAACATCTGTAAAACTCATTTACAATTTTTGAATTATATGAAAAAAAAAAAAAAAAAAAAAAAAAAAAAAAAAAAAAAGGCTAAGTAAGTCTGGTGTGACAGCAAAATGAAATTTTATTAATTGAAAACATCAAAGCATTCCAGCTTTATAAATATCTAAGCTTTATATACTAATATAAGATACAAGTAAACAATTTGTGTGGGAACAAGGTTCTGCTTCTACCAATTTTATTCCACAGACAGTCACTTAATAATTGTAGTGTGTGTAACTCATACCATAGGTGCCTTCCTTTTCCAAAGCTATATAATAAACACAGTTATTTTATAAGTTTATTAGGCATCTGTACATAAACTATTATTACACATGTTCAAAGAAAAAAAAAAAAGGGTTTTCTGTGAAGAACAGATTAATTAAATTCTATGATGCTACCATCAAAATTTCTGTGGCCTATTCTTCATTGTAGAAAATAAAAAGACTTTTTAATGAACCGGTTTATATTGTGGAAACTTTTCTCAACTAGAATTATTTACAACGCCATACAAACCCCACTGCATGGATTTCCCCAGTACCAAGGCTTCTTGCATACTCCCACTTTTGCCCAACTGCTGCTGACAATGCAGGTGATGGCCTGTGGGGAGTCCTTTCCCATTTTCATAATCTAGCTTAACCAAACTATTCATAAATATCTTCTTTATCTGCCACATATCGGATGATATCAGCAGGTCGCAACAGCTTCTCTGCATCACCATCTGGGATTTCAAAACCTACCAGAGAGAAGAAACACTTAGGGAAAAATATGCATAATATACATAACATCTATATAAGTAATTCACAGTAACTGATACAAGATATCATATTGCATTAAAAAAATATATATATATAGTTGAGCTCCTGCTTATCACTTTCGAAGTCCAAAGGACCAAGCAGATCACTCCTCCTTTCAGTTTGGAACAGTGACAGACAACTTTAAATATTGTTCTGATATGATGAGGTCTTTTAACCTCTCCAAGATTTTGATGAATAATTACAAGCTCTGGGAATCTTAATATATATTCTTACTAAACATGAACAATAGAAACAAGTAAATAATAAGTGCACTAAATGATAGAACTGTCATGCACTGTAATATGAGACCATTCAGAAGAATAAACAAGAATCTTTTTGAGGAATATGCACTTTAAAAGAAAAATTTCTCTTTACAGTGAATAACAATAACCATAATAACTTGAGCTGTTGTTAACTTCTGAGCTCCTGACATACATATTCTTATTTTGCTGTCTTTCAAGCCTTTGTCTTTGCAGCAAGAACTATATTCCGAGGATATCACATACCGAATTCATCCTCCATGGCCATGATGACTTCTACATGATCCAAGGAGTCTAAACCGAGGTCTTGCATGAAGTGAGAATCCACGGCGAGCTGAAACGGTAAAACAAGATTACTAAAGTATATATGTGAAATTTATAAGTACTATTATGAAACTTTTGCTCTTAACTTCAAGTATTGTATGGACATTATTTTATCAACCTTATCTCAATAACTAAACTGCCAAGGAAACTTTGAAACCATACATTATGTTTAAATGCAATTCATTATTTTTCATTCTTCGATTATAAAGATAAGATTAACTGTATGAATAAACTGCTGTGAAATACCTTGTCAGGGTTGACCTTATCATACAGCTTAAGAACCAGCATGACTCTCTGCTGGATGAGGTCTAAGGTCAGAGGTTCCTTGGCACTGTAGCTGCGGACCCCACTGGTGGCCTGCAATCGGAAAAATTCAAATTTACAAATGTAACAAATATGCTTTCATTAAAAGTCTAACACTTCAGAAGACCACAACAAGAAACAGGTGATAACGTAATCAAACTTTTCAAATTTTCTTACTTTTTTTTTTTTAATGAAGTATTTGAAACCCATCTGCTGTAATACTTATGATAAAGTTTTTCTACTTCTTACCACCTTTTTGTTTTCATTGTGATCCTTGGAGTGATAATACAAAAAAACGAATTACCTCCAAATCTCCAGCACAGTATAGCTTACATATACCAAGAACCCTCTCTGAAATGTCATCCAAGTTGGGCTTCTTGCTATATTGCTTGATGTTTTGTCTAAACACTGGTTTCTTTAGAAAAGAAAGCAGATGGAGAAATGTTATAGAGTAATAAAAAGAACACTATAATAATGCAATAAAGACTAAATTGCAAAGCCATCAACAACAAATGTATGCATTGGCCACTGTCAAGCCAGTTTTCCTTACTAATTTAAGCTTTTACATTGCTTGAACACCTGAAATTATGTAAACCTTAAAGTCTCATGTGTACATCCACTTTATGAGAAGCACTAGACACTTACACAAAACTGTTCACCGACTATTGAAAATATTCCTAATCTGTTCTGATGTCTGGAATGAAAATCATGTTTAAAGTAAGGAAAAATGATTAACTGATTATGTGCGAAAAATAACAATGCATCAATGTTTAACAATAAAACTGCAACATACATCATAAGTCAGAGAGAATGTACGTGTGACATGCAGCGACTCCCTCCCCTGAATCTAGCAAAGTACATATTGATCAATGTCCTGAAATCCATTTTAGCAACTTCACTTTACCCCCTCAGCTAAACAAAGGTAAATAATACTCATATTTGCTTTTCTTACACTTTCCCAAGACCTCTACTTTAGAATGAGAAAAAACAACAACTACTACTAACAGGGGTTGGAGGAGAGAGCTAGAAATCCAAACTGCTCAGTTATCAGGTAAAAGGTTAAATCTAAGAAACTGTTGGTGCGTTTTTCTAAGATCAAGAAATATAACGTCTACTTTCAATAGGAAAGTGCTACACATGTACACTGAAGTATACATATGCAACATTTTCCTCAGCTTCCCAATCTGACTTGTATAATATATTTTTATGGATCAGTTAAGAAGAGTTAAAACTGGCTTTCCATTTCTTAAACACACAAGATGGCATGGAGAGTAGTCTTCCCCATAAACCTACAACTACTCTCAAGAAATACATTTTCTCTAGTCATTTATTGCACATGGTAAACAACCCATGAAACGGACAGATTCGTGAATACAGAAGTATTTTTTCTTCTATAATATAATTTGCACTCAGAATTTTTTAAAAAGCAAGCATATAGCAAAACCTGTTGGCACTCCTACAAAGGCCATGAAACCTATGCCAAGTATATTCTTACATGACAGTGCTTGTAGACCTCCTCAGTGATTTATCACCAAATAAAGAACCAGTCTCAGCTCTATATTGCTAGAATTTACATGGTAAGATTTATTTGCCTTTGCTCAAGCGAGGAGGCCACAGCAGTTCCCTGACAATATCTAGAGATTAAAACATCCATCACAGGTCATATTAAGATCCAAGTGGAATTAGATAGAACATATACAAGATGATTAAGGAGAGAATTATTTTGAAATTCACTGTGGGGGATTCAATAGTGAGTTTTGACTTTTCTAGTGATTTTAATTGGTGCATGGCAACAATAGTGATAATACAAGACCCAAAAGGTAAGGAGTGCATGACCTATCAAGAAATGGCAGGGATAAATTTATGCTTTATTCATGATTTTTGTCCTTTTTGCCCCCTAAATGCAAATTTTCCAGCACATCTGACCAGTAACACTGAGCTCAGACAAATCAATAACATGCCTTGCCGTTCATGTTAATGACCCAGAGGAAGAAGTAAACATCCCTCACCAACACTTGGTCCAGGTTACTGTAAAAAGTTATAGGAGACTCAGACATTCAAAATAGGATCATCTATTATGTCCACCAACTACTATGATACTTAGTAAAAATATCAATGAGAGTTCAATGACCTCATATTTGATGGATTATAAGATAGATTGATTCTAAAAAGCTCCTTGGGATATAGATAAATAACAAGAGCAACACACACATATACAAGGAAAAGGACACCGCCATCTTATAGAGCATAAGAAACAGTCAAGCAATGCAGGTACTGCTACAGTGGCCTCCATATCAAAAAAATTAATTTATAAATCTAAGTTGGTGTGACTGGATGTGTCTAGGGGAGGGTTAAAGGGGCTCTGCCCACCAACACACCCCAAGAAAGATTGTCTTCACCTTGGTATGCAAGGCAAGACAGAGCTGAAACTTTGCAGCATCGAGTGGACTGAGGCTGTCTGCCTCAGTGCAAACAGTTTACTGGCATGGTAACATTGTCTAAATATCCTTTGCACATGTAGTCATTAGACCACTATCTAATATTATCACTCTTAAAAAGGCACTGTATTTTTAATGTGTTTCCCTATTTCAAATATGAATGATATCACATTTAGGTTTAGTAATAAAGATATTTGGTTTGAAGGAATTGATTGTTGATTCCCAGGTGTGCCCTATATATATATATATGGCTGGAGTAATAGGTACTTAATCTCAGAGGGGTGCTGTCACTTTGTAAACAAGTACCTTATTTTCTACCCAATCCTGAAATCTAAAATTAGTGACCAACTGCCAGTTTGTTAAAATTGTGTCAGGCCCTACCCAAAGAATATTTGTATACTTGACATGCATAAATAAAGAAATAAATGCATATTCATCTGTCTAGACATGCATATCAACCCGGCAAATAGATGGTTAAATGTATATCTATCAGATATATAAACACACATGCCTTTATTTCTGCGTCTGTATTCACGAAACTGAATTGGGTCGGGCCTGGCACAATTTTAAAAAACTGGCCGAAAGTCTACACTCTTAGCTAAGGAATTGCTGCAACCACATTTTCAATGCGCAGGAGAAATGTTATATTAACCACAAAAGTTATTTAAGATAACAGCTTTAGGTAGCAAATATGATCTGCAGAAATTAAATTAAAGTTAAACTACATGCACATTTGTAAAATCTATACCAGCCAGTCCTGTCAGCCTCCCTGGCAATTTGTTGTCAAGTAAAGAAGGGTTTCAAGTCAAGTTTTCTTGCTGAAAACAAATTGAGAAGCTTCCTGGTAATGGAGAAAAGGCCACTGTGTCTCTTCAATTTATCCACTTCTCAACAATTACTCGAAAATCGCTAGAGGTGTCTGCAAGGGCATTTGTTACCGAGAGTGACTTGCCATCTGGAGACGAAGTATCAAAACCAAGGTATCACACGAACCCAAAACCCAAACCAAACTTTTCCTACGTTTTACTTACTCCCTAGACAGGAGGGACAAGCCTCCCTCTGTACCCATTTATTATCACTTCGTGCCAACTAATAGAAAACAGACAATTCAGAACTCTGGATGTGTCAGAGTGCTGTGGACTTTCTGAGTGGTGATATGCAACAGATAATTTCAACATTTTGCGGTAAATATGAGACTGCTGAAGCCATAGACCGATTCAGTGTGATGTCACGAGTCTGAGTCACCATTCTACTTGGTGAAAACCCGTTGCTCACGAATACCTTGTTAGTGGATACCTAGTTATCAGCGCGAGCGAAAATGGCTCACGAATGCTTAGATTGTTTAAAAACCGAAGTGAAAAAGCAATATGAATCAAAACTAGAAGCTGTGCAGCTACAAGAATGCCTGCCAAAATTGGGAGCGATAAACCTACGAAATACTGAATATCCTGACATCTAAGACTATTTGATCAACACATTATGTATTAAAAATTATTTTATGATGACATACTTTCCTACAGTAATTTATGAGTTTTAGCTATATAGGTTATTTTTTCTGTGAAATCAGTGCCATTTCCTAACCAATTTTCTTCCTATTTACAAGGTGTTTACACAAAAGAAATAATGAAGTCACATAAAGGCCTACAAACGCACAACGCATTTTTCTCTTCCCTCAGTAATTTGAGATAGGCCCTCTTCAGTTGTTTCATCTTCTGGACTATATGACTTTTTAGGCACAGAGGCAACAGGAAACTTTGTTTCTTCTGAATGCTCTGCATCTCCTTAGCTAGGCTTCTTTTCTTCCTATTTCAAATCTTTTTAACAGTATGACTGCTTTGTTTTCATCTAAAGGACTGTGTTTGGGATAAAGTCTGGGTGAGTTGGATCTGGGGATGGTTTGCCTGTAAATTAAAATTATGATAAATCAATTACAGAAAAATGTAAAATTGCTGTTGTGCTTTTTTATGTGTATGACTGCTGCCAAAACCTAATGTCAGCAATGTTATCTTTGTTTGGCCTTGATAGATAGTGTAGATAGAGTTTAAAAGTTACTATCTGTCTCTAGAATTTGAAAAGGTGTAAAATATTAACATGTAATAAAATGTTTTGATCAGATTTTCCACTGGGTGCCCAAGCATTCCCATTAGTGTTCACGCATTTCGTGGCCTGTACCCATCTCTTCCATTTTTCAAGTTTCTTTTCGTGTCTGGGAATATATGAAAGGTTAAACCTTTCTTTCCCATCATGTTGTGGTTCGAAGAACAAGCAGCAACACAGCTCCTCAGCATTTTCACGCAAAGAAACTAGACTCTTGCAAAATTTCAGCGACTCTGTAAACAAAGCAAAGTGAGTTTTCGAACGAACGAACGTTTGTTTTCACCAAGTGTTTGTTGCTAGGGGCAGTTGCTAGGCGTTACCAAATCGGTCTATAGCTGTGTTGACTGACTGACTCTTGTTTTCTATGGCAGTGAACATTTTCTTCTCGTTGCTCTTGATAACATTAACCTGAGTAAATTCTATCTTACCCTAATACTGTGGTGGTTTATTAGCACTATGCCTCTCAAAAACTGGTCTACATTCCAAAATAATACAGATACTGACTTGCAATATATTTCCGATTACAATAGTGGACCCACGAAAAACTATGGAAGAAAATAACTACTCCAAACACGACGATAACAAGTTTTTAGTATTAAAAGAAGTGCTCCACCATCATCTCTAAAAAAAAAAGCCTCACCCACAGTTGCGTATGTGCGACATGTAGGCCTACATCACACACCCACGGCAAAAAAAAAAAAAAAAAAAAATACCCACGGCAAAAAAAAATGCCCCTCGCATACCTGCAGACTACCAATCACGCCAACTTACAAAAATCCCCAAATCCCGAAGACTACCAATAAAAAACGAAAAGCTACACTAAATTCACATCCAGGGAGCCATAGCCACCCTGCCCGAGCCCAGAAAACCCTCAGATTCGAGGCAGGAGGGAATGATCAGCTGATCCTCCCTGTAAACACGCTGGCGCCGGCGAGACCCAGCGGTCGACAACATTACCTTTGTGATCGCCGATAAAAGCGTTGTGTTGGACAGTCTACTCTCCCTCGAGGTCAGTGTGTGCAGGCATCCTACTGTCGCAGCTCTCGGCACCACGCTGAGCACCGCCGAGGGTCTGATAAGGGCAGCAAAGCGTAAAGTTCGTGAGAGAGAAGCCATTTTCGCCGACCTGGAGCCTCGGAGCCTCAACCTCTCGCCAGCCGCTCGTCCACAAGACCCGGCCGG